AAGTGCAAAAGCCCTAATGTTGAAAAGAGAATGGTTTGTTTAAGGAACAGAAAGAAGGCCAGAGCTAGGAGCAAGGTTTGCAAGGAGAGACCGCCCATGAGGCTTGAATGAGGCAAGACCCATCACCTAGAGTCTGAAGTTCACTGAAAATATAAAGAGAAGTGTGTGTGTGTGGGGGGGGGTGGTTCTTGAGAAGGGAAGAGATTGGATTAATTTATATTTAAAAGATCTCTGGTGGATGTGGAGAGATTGGGACTCTCATACACTGCTGGTGGGACTGTAAAATGGTACAACTACGATGGAAAGCAGTATGGCGAATTCTTCAAAAGTTGGAACTAGAAATACCATTTGACCCAGCTATTCCATTACTAGGTATATATCCTAAAGAAGTGAGAGCCAAGACAAGAACAGACATATGCACATCCATGTTCATCGCAGCACTATTTACAATAGCCAAAAGATGGAAACAACCTAGGTGTCCTTCAACTGAGGAATGGATAACCAAACTATGGTACATACACACAATGGAATACTATGCAATGCTAAAGAATAATGTAGAATCTGCAAAACACCACATGACATGGATGAACTTGAGGATATTACACAAGTGAAATAAGTCAATCACAAAAGGACAGATATTGTATTAGTTCATTATTGTAAAAGTCAAGGAAAAGTTTATCTATCAAGGACATTTTCTTTGTTGGTTACCAGGGGTGGGAGGTGAGGGGAGGGAACACTATTAGATAGATTGAGATAAGTATTGATTTGAGTGAAGAGAAGGGTAATGTACCAAATGTGAGTGATCAATATAGTGGCATTGAGGAAGAGAAAGACATAGAGAAGTATGCAGGAGGTACAGACAACAAAGATGAACCCTTTTGCACATATAGTACAGCATTGTCAGTGAAGGCAAACATGAGTATATGGGTAGATAGATGGGTGGACAGGCTGAATTATTAAGTATGTCTATGAAGTGGGGAATGTACCCAAGAACATGTTTAGGGTTGGCAGACAATGGTCCTATAAGTTTATGTGTATGATCTGAATTCCCAGGTGTATAGTAGACCTGACAAGGAGCAAGGATTTAGTCACTGCTTGATCACAGCCAGCTACCCAGAGGGACTGAGTAGTTGAACCTGTGGGCTCGGGACCATAGTTGCAGGGGACATCGAGCTCAATTGGCATAACATACTATACAAAACATTGTTCCACCTCCTACTTTGGTGAGTAGTGACTGAGATCTTAAAAGCTTGCAAGCTGCCATCTAGACGCAACAATGGGTCTCTCCTCATCCAGAGCAAAGAAGAATGAAGAAAACCAAAAATTCATGGAAACAATTAGTCCCAGCAACTGGTACACCATCTGATCTGCAGCCTATACAACTATGAAACCAGAAGAACTATATGGTGCCAGGCTACTACTGTCAACTACTTGGAAGGGGATCTATGTAGGAGATCCTGGATAGAGAGGGAGAATAATGTGGAACAAAACTTAAAATCATTTGTAGAAAAAAATGGGGATCAGGTTTGCTGGTCCAATAGAGCCTGGTTGAACCACTGAGACTATGGTCCCTAGCTGCCCTTCAGGTCTGGAATTGAACCCATGTCTGTGGCTTCCAGCCAAACAATAGACAGGCTTATGAGTTGAACATTTACCTTAGGTAGATACACTCCTTGGAGAGAACAATCATGGGAGAAAGAAGGGCTGTTTATGCATAGCAAGACAGCTCAGGGGGCAAGAGTGCATGGAGGGATAGACACAGGGAAGAGGTAACTATTGGGAGGAAGTATAAAGGGAGATGTTGCATTGTGGTAAATTGTGGTCAATGTCATGAGACAAAGTATATGTGAACTGCTGTATGGAAATTGAATTTGCTCTGTAAATTTTCACCCAAATCACAATTTAAAAAAAAAAAAAAAAGATTTCTGGCATGCTGTCTGAAGGATGAACTGGAGAAGGGCTGGAGTGAAAGAGACAGACTAACTAGGAAACTCCTGTAGCCCGGACCAAATGGTACCTGATGTAACAATATTGTGTGTCAGTTATTCCATCGGTAGAGTATAGCTATTGCATACACTTCATTTAACAAGCTCTTTGGGCTCCTGGAGGTGGTGATGAAAGTTTAGATGGCCTTGTTGTTGACTCTGCATGCCTTTTCTAGAGCCACAACCATTCTCAGAGCTCATCCGTGAGGGCCTCCTTCTGCCCAGTCACCTTCTGGCCCTCAAGATCCCAGTGACTCTAGTATCTGCCATGACTTGGGACACATTGCACCCTGTGGGTGGGACTGAAAGCACACAGAAGCTTTCAGAAAGCAGGGTAGGCAGCTCACAACACTAGGGCAAGTGAAGAGGAAGGACAGGCCAAATCAGAGCCTGGTCAAGGCCCCAGGAGACCAGCAGAAAAGAAACAGAGGCAGATGAAGGTCAGATGGATGCTAATCATGGGAGGAGAGATAAACTACAATCAGAGGAGTCCCTTAACACACTTGAGCTCAAAACTGGTGAAGGAAGGAAAACCTAGGGAGCAAGGCCAAGCTCATCCAGATGATGCAGCTTATCCAGAAAACACTTGACAGTAAGAGTCAGTACAGTTTACTACAGGATGAGACACTGTATGGAACTGAGTGGAGATGTGTCAGATAAGGCCACCCGGAGAAATCAGCCCTCAGCTGACCTGTCAGCAATCTGGAGACACATGAGCAGGCCCAGCCATCTTCATCTGAGCCTGACCCAGACAATAGGCACTGCTCTGCTGATACATAAATTTGTGAAAAAGTAATAAATCATTACTTTTTTTAAGCATCTGAGTTGGGGGGTGATGTGTTATGCAGCAACACCTAACTGATACAGAGGGTTTTGGTTTCATAACCCTGTTTGAGGTCTCTGTTTGTTGAGATAATTGCACTGGAGGCATGAGCCTAGTGATACATTTTTAATCTCAACTGTGGAAGTCTCTAGTAGCCTTGTGAAAACATCTTCCCTTTATGGAGCTTCAGTTCACATCTATAAAATGGAGGTACTGGACCAGATAGATGACTTCTGAGTAGCTTCTTAGCAACCTTGGTCTACACTTGAATGACTCTAACCCCTTTATTCAACCATTCTGTCAATGAATCACAAGAATTGATTCAGAACCTACCATGTATCAGGCTGTGGCTGGGATCTGGGAGACTCATCAGCCTGCATGGGATGGTGAAGCAGAGCAAAGGAAGCACAGAGTCTAATGTTCTCTAACCAATTGCTCTCAAGTCAGTTTTGACTAATGTTGACCTATCTGTGTCTCTCTGGTAGTGTAGTGCCTAAGGCATTTGACTGCTAGCCAGATGGCTGGAGGTAAAAACCCACCAGCCACTCCTCGAAAGGAAGGTTGGGCAATCTACTTCCATAGTGATACCACATTGGAAACCCAAGGAGTGGTCGCTATGAGTCAGATCCAACTCGACAGCAGTGAGTTTGTTTGTTTGTTTTTTGATATCTGTGTGACAGTAGAACTATGCTCCTCTGGGGTTACTATGGCTGATTTTCAAAAGTAGATCTACTTCTCCAATTATCACAATCCCTCAGGACCTCTTCCCCTACCTCAGAGAAAGGCAATAACATGGAACCATATTCCAGAATATTCAGAAGAGGACTTGGAATGAGAGATATCATTGCTGATGTTAGATGGATCTTAGCTGAAAGCAAAGAATACCAGAAAGATGTTTACCTATGTTTTATTGACTATGCAGAAGCATTTGATTGTGTGGATCATAACAAATTATGGACATTATTGAAAAGAATGGGAATTCTAGAACACTTAAGTGTGCTCATGATGAACCTATACATAGACAAAGAGGCTGTCACTCAAACAGAACAAGGGGATACCGCATGGTTTAAAATAAGGAAGGGAGTGAGTGTGTCAGTGTTGTATCCTTTCATCATACTTATTCAATCTCTTGTTGTTGTTGTTGTGTGCCATCGAGTCGGCCCCAACTCATAGCGACCCCTCCTTGGGTTTCCTAGGCATTATCACTATGGAAGTAGATTGCCCCATCTTCCTTCCAAGGAGTGGCTGGTGGGTTTGAACCACCAGCCTTCTGGTTAGCAGTCAAGTGCCTGAGCCACTATGCTACCAGATCTCTATGCTGAGCAAATAATCTGAGAAGCTGGACTATATGAAGAAGAGCTTGCCTTCAGGATTGGAGAAAGACTCATTAACCATCTGTGATATGCAGATGTTACAGCTTTGCTTGCTGAAAGTGAAGAGGACGTAAAGCACTTACTGAGTTAAGATTAAAGACTAGAGTATGTGATATGCATTACATCTCAACATAAAGAAAATGAAAATCCTCACAACTGGTCCAATAAGCAGCATCACGATAAATGGAGAAAAGATTGAACTTGTCAAGGATTTTATATTACTTGGTTCCACAATCAACATAAATGGAAGCAGCAGCCAAGACATCAGACAACGTATTGCACTGGGCAAATCTGCTGCAAAAGATGTCTTTCAAGTGATGAAGAGTCTCTTTGAAGACTAAAGTGTGCTTAACCCGAGACACGGTATATTCAATCGCCTCATATGCATGTGAGAGTTGGATAATGAATAAGGAAGACTGAGGAAGTGTTGATGCTTTTGAGTTGTGGTGTTGGCAAAGAAATCTGAAAGTTTCATGAACTAACAAATCTGACCTGGAAGAAGTGCAGTGAGAATGCACTGGAAGCAAGATTGGCCAGACTTTATTTGACCTACTTTGGTCATATTGTTAGAAAGGACCATTCCCTGAAGAAGGGTATCATGTTTGGTAAAATGGAGAGTCAATGAAAAAGGGGAGGGCCTCAACAAGATGAATTGACATAGGGGCTGCAATGATGGGCTCAGGTGTAGCTAGTATTGTGAGGCTGGTGCAGGACCAGGCAGTGTTTCATTCTGTTATTCATAGGGTCGGTACGAGTAGGAGCCATATCAACAGCACCTAACAACAACAATATTCCCCAGAGCCCAGAAAGCAGTCCAACCATGGAACCACGGGGCAATAGATGCAGTGTTCCTCTCAAAGCCGGCTCCACGAGGCAGCTGCTCCTCCTTAAACCATCGGACTATAACTGCTCTGGAGACAGGACACCGGGGGCGTTCCCAGGCCCTGCTGGGGAGAAAAAAAGAAGGGAAGGAGGGTCACTTTGAGCTGGATCTTTATGATTCCCTGCAGAGAGGATTAAATGAGATCAGGCACTTAAAGGCATTTTGCAGATTATAACATACCCAAAACCAAAACCAAACCCACTCCCATCAAGTCAATATTGATTCATAGTGACCCTATAGGACAGAGTAGAACTGCCCAAAAGGGTTTCCAAGGCTGTAATTCTTTATGGAAGCAGACTGCCTCATCTTTCTCCCATGGAGCAGCTGGTGGATTCTAACCACTGACCTTCTGATTAGCAGCCTAATATTTTAACCTCTGTGCCACCAGAGCTCCCTTATAATGTACCAGCTATTATTTTCCCCAGAAGAAAACTGTTATCACTTGTTTTGGAAAAAGCCCCATAGGTGGGAATGAAAGAGAGGATAGGAGAGGAGGAAAGTGATATTTCCTTCTACAGTGGCCAGGGCATAAAAATCAGCATGCATGTTTGAAGAGAAATTCTAATATAACAAGAACAAAAGTATTAATATGTGAGTGTTCCTCAACTCCCCCACCCTCCTACTTCCCCCTCTATGCCTTCACCTCCCTGCCTCTAAGGGAAAGTCTATCCTTACCAACTAACTATTGTGAACAGAAGCAGAATAGTGAACAGAGATAAAGTGGAGAGCCTAGATATGCATTGGAAATTGATGAGATTTATCACTGAAGAAATGGAAAGAACAGGGACAGGAGAGGAGAAAGTAAGGAAGGAAGAACTCTATCTGTTGACTTTTGACAGATGATTCCAGGGAGGGTTGGAAAATACTGAGATTGAGATGAATAGGAGCACTTGAAGAATTTATGGGTATTGAATTAGGTGGGTTTTTTAATGCTTTCTCTTGAGTGAATCTGGTTTTTGTCTTTTTTGGTTTTTTCCCTGCATGTTTTTTTGTTTTGTTTTGTTTTCTCATAATGATTTTAATTGTGTTCATGTCTAAACTGTGGTTCTTGAATACACACTGAGACTGGGCCATGCCATAAAAGACCATGTTATATCTCAGCTACACTAAAATGAAACACTGTAAGAGCTCAACAGCAGTAATTTATAATAGGCATCTAACAACTATTTTTTAAAGTAGTAAAGAGTATGACTGTATCACATTAATTTATGATATGAAAATGCAGAATCGGAGAAGCAGGAAAGTCCTGGACCCACTTGGAACAACAACAGCCTTTTCACTACTTTCCAGCTAAATAATGGGAACCTGGTAAACCCTTATTTTGTAATTGCTATCCACTTAATGGTGGGGCAGGTGTAGTTAAGTGATAGCCAATGCATCTCATGCACAGCCACCACCATCTGTCACTAGAGGCTTATGTGTTGCTATGATGCTGAACAGGCTTCAGTGGAGCTTCTAGACTAAGGTGAACTAGGAAGACAAACCTGGGTATCTACTTCTAAAAATTAACCAGTGAAACCCCTATGGATCACAATGGTCTGATCCAGCTGTGCATAGGTTTGCCATGAGTGTGGTGCTGACTAGACAACAGCTAACAACAACAGCATCCACTTAATAGGCAATGGTATTTACAATTCACCACTCTTGTCATTGTTTTTACAAAATATATATCAGCTATTCCCTCTGGAGTCTGTATTTGCCCTGCAACAACATTTTGACCCTAAGTTCAGTGCCTCTTTACAAGCCCCAGAATAAGTCCATTTGGCTTATTTTCACTTGATATCAATTGAATCCACTTACACACACATAAAAAGAGTAAAAAATGTTAATCTTAGAAAAGATGTTGTAAGAAGGATAGAAGCTGAGGTTACCTTAAAAGCTTTTCCTCAATGGAATTTGTTCTCTAAACCCTTCTTCCACATTGTTCCTCCCTAGACCTTGTTCTCTGCTGATTTCCTTTTGGGAATCCCCATTCTAAGCAACCACTGACATCTTTTATCTTTATCAGGAGAACAACACAGAACTAGCCCACCTTTTTCATGCTTGCATTCCCTAACAAGTAACTATCCTCAGGGAGCAAAAAAAATCCTCTCATTTCTAGGACTCACACTCCTTAAAAGGCAAGAGAAGGCTATCAATAACAGCAAAGGAAACTCATTCACTCTTGCCTCTCTGTGTCTAAGCAGAGAATCTGATTCACCAGAATATACATACTTAGTTGAGGTACTCTGAGAAGCATCAGGGCCAGAAGCTTACTCCAGAAGCCCTTCCATCAGCAGTGCACCTCCAACCCTCTGCACATCCAGGCAGGAGTTTTCTGACCAGGGTCAGGGTACAGAGCTGAGAGCAGTGCAAACACAGGCACCTATTCCCTGAATCAGTCATAGGAGATAGCTCCGCCATTGCTTGGGTCTGCTGATCTGTTGGCATATCCCTGGTTCTCCTGGGTGGTTCACTGGAGGTCCAGTCTCTTTATTGATACCTACTGCAGCCAGCCCAGAGTAAGGCTGCATGGATGCCATGAGCAATTTGGGTCTCAGAGACCAGTTATAGGGTTCTTTGTAAAAAGCACAGAAGAGGGCAAGAACTTTCTGCTTATATCCCCAAATCCAGTAAATGCACAAGGAAATTGGACTTCATAAAATTCAAGCATTTCTGCATGACAGAAAACTCCATTACCAAAGTGAAAGACAAATGACAGAGAAACTTTATCACAAAGGACCCTCTTCCATGATATTGAAGGAACTCCTAAAAATTAGTAAGAAAAAGAACAAGAATGCAAAAATTATCTTAAAAAAAAATGTTAAGAAGATGGGATAGAACAGATAAGGAACTACCAATGACCCTTAAAAATACAGAAAATGCTTAATCTCACACAATTAGATACAAACATTAAAAGTTTCACAGATTTCTCATTCAAAACAAAAGTCTGATAACACACCCTTTGCAAGGCTGAAGGATGAGAGTGGTAATGGGTACCACACTTACAGAGAGTAAAGTGATTATAACCATCAATATTGCAAATACACACAGCCTTTGGTTCAGCAATGGTACTGTTGGGGATCTATCATATAGATAATATTGCATGTGTATAAAATAAATGAATTGTTCAAGGTTATTCATTAAGGACATGGTTGGTGCCAAAAGATGTGAAACAAGACCAATGTCTATTAATAGATATTTAGTTAAATAAATTGTAGCAGTGGAAAACCATGCAGCTATATAAATAAATAAATAAATAAACTAAGAATTGGCAAAAAGACTGCCAAAATACTGCTAAATGAGAAAAAAAAAAATCAAACTTCAGAACCCTGTATATAATGTGAAAATTTTTATGCAAAAATAAAAATTAAATTAAGGAGAAATAAGACTTTTCATGTTCATAATTGCAAAAAGGAACTGGAGGATAAACAAGATGTGATGAATACACACAACAGAATACTACTCTGACAGAGAGAGAAATGAAGTCTTGAGGATGGATGAACCTTGAAAACACCATGCTAAACAAAATAATTCAGTTGCAAAGGACAAATACTGTACAGTCTCACATGAAATAAACAAATATATTGACACCTAAATTAGTGGTTGTCAGCATTAGAAAGTAAGGAGCTCTGGTGGAACAGTGCCTAAGGCATTTGACTGCTACCTGGAAGGTTGGCGGATAAACCCACAAGCTGCTCTGTGGAAGGAAGTTGAGGCAATCTACTTCCATAAAGATTTACCACCTCAGAAACCCAATGGGAGTCCTATGAGTCAGAATCAACTCAATAGAGGTGAGTTTGGTTTTTGTTTTGAGCATTGAAGGTAAGGGGAAAAGAGGAGTTTTTGCTTAAGGGGCATTGAGGTAATGTTAACAGTGGTAGAATGATTTAGAAAAGGATAGCAAAATGAGTGCACAATTTAAAGAACATAATCAATGTACACTGAACTGTGCATGTAGAAATTGTTAAGACAATATATGTTTTGTTGGATATATTTTCACCACAAAACGAAAGGAACCAAGCACAGTGGTTACCTATGGGAGAGGGAACTGAGAAGATAGAGGACAAGGGAGGGAGTCAGACCTTTCTCTGTGTACCTATTTATGCTTTATGTTTTTCTAATTACATGAAAAAAAGACACACTCAGCTCTCCCTAGACTGCAAGGAGGGAGAAGGGGTTATGAATAATCCCAAATCCCAGTTGAAGTAAAACTCAGAGTAGCTGTGGTTAGGGAGCCAGAAGTGCTCACCAGCAACCCTGGGCCTTCATCACCAGCAATTATGAGTAGGTCAGAGGGAGACAAAACAAGCAGAAAGTTGAGAGGCTCCAAGTGACTTCCCTCTTTTAGTGGTCCATCCCTTATGGATGGCCACTACAGTGTCCTTGCTTAGCCTCTCTGGGAAGGCAAATGTATGTCAGGACCATCCTACACTCAATTTCCAGCTAATCTGCAAATCTGTTGAGAACCAGTATGACCTGTGATTACAATGAACAAGTAGCTTCCCTTTGGAGGTTGTGGACCATATTTAATCCATCTGAAGTCTTATATTACAAGATATCAATCTGAGGGTCTGTAGACCTCTAAGGACCTGACATTGTATACAAATATTTTGGGAAATTTACAAATGAACTTTGCAGGAGGTGGGAGGAGAAGGTAAGGTGTACAGTTTCCTTCAGATTAGAAAGCTTTGACTCCAAAAAGATTAAGAGTCCCAGAACTCCAGGGTTATTAGAAATTTTAGACCCACACCACTCCTCTTCCACCTCCCATCCCCATTACACTGACTGGGAAACTGAGGCCCACAAAAGAGAAATGACTAGCCCCAAGTTACACAGCAAATCAGGGGCAGAGCCAAGGTTGGAACTCCTGTGCCCTTACCACTCCACTCTTATCTGCTCACCCCCAACCCCAGCCCAAAGCCTTTCCACCATCCACATGCTCACAGAGCTCTTACCTACCTGAGTGGCACTGTAAGGGGCAGCAGTGGGCCAGGTCCTGAGAGATGGTGGAAAAGTCTTGCCTCCTGCTGGTGGCTCTGGCCGAGCTCCTGGAACATGGAGCTGAGGCCAGCAACGGTGCCTTTCTGGATGGCACGGAGCGAGTGACGCCGGCACTCATCACGGGCGTCCTTTGCTTGGCGACTCCTCTCCTCATCAGCTGCCTTGGAGCGGCGCACTGCAAAGGGGTTGACAGTATGTCCTCCCAGATTCACCACCCAAGCAGGCAAAGCACAGACCAAGAGCCCAGAACTGCCAGAGCCAAACAACCAGGCCCACCTGTGGGCTGCATGGAAACTTCAGGGCTTGGAATGGCAGGACAGGCCCAGCCCCAGCCAGCAGCTGGGGGGGAGGGGGTTCTGGAGGTAAAGACACTCATGACACCTGTTGTCATTTGACTATTCCTATAACCCCTGTCCTGGGTTACCAAGTAACCTTTGTATGGAAATGTACATCCCCATATATATCGCTAACAGGAGCAACTCTGAAAACTCTGCTTTACAGCCCATGATCACCCCATCCTTAACAACTGCCCCCTCAAGCTCAAGGGCACCTGTATATGTAGTCAGTATTTCCAAACACCACCATCACCCACACTCATTTCTGCTTACCCTGCACCAAGCCCTAGATACCAAGCTCAACCTGCATTATCCCTCAACTAATCAGAGGGTAGATTTCTAAGTTTATAGGGGCAAAACTCAACCTCTGGGAGGTTTAAATCATTAGTAAGTTGGGGATGGAAACCAGGGACCTGGCTTTAACACTGTGCAGCTTTTTCCACCACATGGACTCACTTTCCAAGCTTCCTTCACTTAGAAGCTAGGTGTGTCAGACACCAAAGCTCCATGCTTTTCCCACATAAAGGCCAACTTCATGTTAGACATGTGGAAACTGAGAAATTAGGACAGACATTGACTTGCCTGCTAGACCAGAAGCCAGGCCTGGCCAAGCAGCCCTGCTTCTGTGGCCACAGGTGAGCTATTGGAAACCCCTTGCACTTACCCTGGTCCCTATCCTTATTTTGTTTCCTATAACCTTGGAATCTGGCAGGTGTATATGTTGGAGGGTAATGAAGAGGATCCTTAGGTAACTGGCACTCCATAGGTCACAGAATTCCAGTATCTAGAGAACAGTTGATAGGTGATACACATTTTTGGATGACAGAATGTACTCAGAAAGTATTTAACTCCATGCCAGGCCCTGAGTAGGACAGAGATGACCATAAAGCTAACCACAAAGCATTCAGAGCCAAGGTAGGAAATAAGACCAAGAAGTACCTCTAAAAAGCTTAGTGAGGTATTGTTAGTGTTCAGAAAGGCAGAACTCAGCCCTGCCATGGAGAGTAAGTAGGGGGCTGGAGAGAACAATTGTTGTTGTTGTTATGTGTTGTCGAGTCGGACCCAACTCATAGCGACCCCTCCTTGGGTTGCTGAGACAGTATCACTACAGAAGTAGATTGCCCAACCTTCTTCTGAGGAGTGGCTGGTGACTTTGAACCACCAGCCTTCTGGTTAGCAGTCAAGTGCCTTAGGTACTATGCTACCAGAGCTCTGGAGAGAACAATAGGAGTCTCCAAAGAAAGAAGAGGGAGGGGCTATTCCTGGGAGAGAATCTAGGGTCACTTCCCAGTTGCATGTACGTGTATTCCAGACACTAAGAACACCACAATGCTACCTTCTAGCAGGCCATGCAGTCAGAGAGGGGCTTTCCTGAAAAATAAATACTAGAAGCTTATGCTGTACAAGACCCAGTAACCCTTGGAGAGTATGTAGCTTCAGAGGGACAGCTACTCAACATATAGCAGTTTGCACAAGGAAATCTTACACAGAATTAGGAATCCAGGCTTTTTAAACTAAGATGGGCCAGACCCTGAGCCTCTTCACATGTGGAGACCAACCACATTCCTCCTCCTAGAGTCCAGCTCTAATCTTGCCACTCTCTTCTTTAAAAGCCTTGAAGCCTTTAAAACCAAGACCAGAAGAATTGCCCAACTAAATTCAGCCTAAATTGCTGACCTGCAGAATCATGATCAACGATAAGTAGCAGTTGCTTTAAGTCACTGAATTTTGGGCTGGTTTGTTAGGCAGCAATATTTGTGATGAATATTTTTGTAAAGAATGTCTAATTCATCTTGAGATAATATAGGTGTTCTCTTATGTTCTCTTCTCAAAGTAGACCACATCCCTAAGGCAGCTACTCAGCTGCTCACAGTAGATTCTACCATGGAGTTGATTACCAGTCTTATCATGGGGAATTATTTGCTTTTCATATTGGTAAAGGAACTCTGGTGGCATAGTGTCTAAGGCACTTGACTGCTAAACAGAAGGTTGGTGGTTCAAATCCACCAGCCAGTCCTCAAAAGGAAGGTTGAGCAAGCTATTTCCATAGTGATACTGCCTCAGAAACCCAAGGAGGGGTCCCTATGAGTCGGAGACGACTCAACGGCACATAACAACAACAACAAAAGGAAAACTTCATAAAGCTTTTTGACCAAAACTAATGATTGGATTAAATTCAGTTCTTGCTGAATTAACTAGTCTTTTTACCTGCCTGCCTGCCTGCCTGGAACTTCAAGTTTGCTTACCTGCATTCAACAGAGTTGATTCAGAGTTTTCAGAAGTTCCTGTCAGTTAGCCATTTTGATTGCGAGAATTACAGAGAGTCTTTTTTCTTAGTAGCTGTGGTGGGATCGCATATGAAACTGAAGGAGGGGTCACTATAAGTCGGATCTGACTCAATGGCAGTGCATTTGGTTTGTTTTTTTGTGGTTGTTAAGTCTGTGTGTCAACTTGGCTGGGCCTGGTTGAGTGGCTGGGCAGCAGGATGTAGTATTCCCCGTGATAAGACTGGTAATCAACTCCATGGTAGAATCTACTGTGAGCAGCTGAGTAGCTGCCTTAGGGATGTGGTCTACCTCCTGTATATAAGGAGAAGCCTTGGAGAATGGACTGTAGATTATGGCATGCTTGAACCCTGCATGTAGGCGAGTTGTTGGTCACCAGCCTGCCATGCTCTGCCAATCCTGAGATTTTTCAATGGACTTGAATCAATGGCCTGCCTGGTGGTTTGGTAACATAAGGACTGTGCCATTTTATTTGTCAGCCTTGGGCTTTTTAGCCTCAGTAGCCAGTAGCTGCCTGAGTGAAAAGATACCTCTAGCTTCAGTGGGCTGAGAGCAAGAGGCAGAGCTGCAACCCAAGGACTAGGGGCTTTTACACAGCCCATAGAGGCTGGCACTTTGAACTTGGACTTCTAGCCTCCTGAACTGTAAGAAAATAAATGCCTGTTTGTTCAAGCAATCCCATTTGTGGTATATTCTTGTCAGAGTGACACTAGGTAACCAGAACAGAATATGGTACCGAGAGTGGAGTGCTGCTCAGATACCTAATATGTAGAAACTGGAGTGGAATTTGTCCTTGACCCGAGACCCTGGCAGAGAGACCCTGGCATATGGCATGAGAGATGACAGGAGCAGAGCCAAGAGACCAGCATGAGAAATGGCAGGAGCAGAGCAGAGAGACCAGCATGAGACAGCAACAGCCTTACCAGCTCACAGAGGAGAAAGCTGGATGCCATTATGCAGGCAGCTTCCTGGAGGAGGGGGTTGCCTTTGGGCATTAATAGGTAGAAAAGACTGGCATGAAATGGAGTAGTAGGTTGGCTGGCCCACAGAGCAAGAAAGCTGATTGCTTTGGTGACAGGAAAATTTCTGGCAGAGTGGGTTGCCTTTGGCATTAATTGGCAGAAGCAGAGAGACCAAGGAAATGGGAAGCAGAGCTGCCTCAGCCTCAAGAGTAGGACCGTGGTCTTTGGGGGTAGAACCACCATAACCCCCTAGGTTTCAAAGAGCCAGACCTTCACCAACTTGGTTCTGGAGTGTGGGGCTGCTTATTCATGTGAGCCAGTGGAGGGAGTCATAGTCATTGCCCAAAAGTGAAGAGCCAGAGGTGCCATGCCCAAAAGGGAGAGGAATGGAGCCCACCAGGCCAAGGGGGTAAGGTTGCCACTTAGGAACTAAGGGACTGGAGTCACCTAGTGAAGGAGATCTGTACAGATGCCACCCACTGAAGATCTGTACAGGTGCCAAGTTGACAAGGGGTGGAATTGTGGTGGTTAAGTCTGTGTCAACTTGGCTGGGCCTGGTTGAGTGGCTGGGCAGCTGGATATAGTATTCCCCATGATGAGACTGGTAAACAGCTCCATGGTGTAATCTCCTGGGAGCAGCTGAGGAGCTGCCTTAGGGATGTGGTCTGCTTCCTGTATATAAGGAGAAACCTTGGGGAACAGTGTCTAGCTTATGGCATGCTTGAACCCTGCATGTAGGTGAGTCATTGTTCAGAAGTCTGCCATGCTCTGCCGATCCTGGGACTTTCAATGGACTTGAATCAATGGCCTGCTGTGTGGTTTGGTAAAACTGAGACTATGCCATTTTATTCGTCGACCTAGGGCTTGTTAGCCTCAGCAGCCAGTAGCTGCCTAAGTGAAGAGATGCCTCTAGCTTCAGTGGTCCAGGAGCAAGAGACAGAGCTGAAGCCCAAGGTCTAGAGGCTACACAGCCTCTAGAGCCTGGCACTTTGAACTCAGACTTCTAGCCTCCCAAACTGTAAGAAAATAAACTCCTCTTTGTTAAGCCATCACATTTCTGGTATATTCCTGTCAGAGCAGCACAGAGGTAACCAGAACAGTAGCCAATCCAGGATGTGAAAGAAATACACTATAAAAAAAGGAATCTTGACACAGCTGTGTCTTTGTGTAAATTAAGCCACAGAAATATTTCTTTATGACAAGGAAGTAATAAAGAGAATTTTTTAGAAAGGATCTTGGAGCCGATCTTATCTAAACTTTCAGAAACACTTTGAAGAGCTTTTGTTTTAATAAGCTGCTTCCAGGAAATAATATCCTGGTACAAAAATGATTATCCAAATTCCTAAGACTTCTGGGTAAAGCTGTTTAAACATCAACCAGTGATGTTTTGTGATCCCAACTGAAGTATATGTAACTATGATTGAAAATTTATTTAATTAGTTACTGAAATCAATCACCATAAGTTTCTATACCCAATTATCCAATAGAAGCCCATTTCCCTTCTTAGTATAGCCTCTTTGTGACTTCAATTAACCAATCAAATGACTATATTGTGATTTCTTCAGTCTCTGGAAGAAAGTTCTTTAGTTGGAA